TAAAAAAAACAATCCAAACACGTAAAAATCAACTCCAAAAACAAACCAAAAAAACATAAAAATAGAATTCGATAAAACAACCAATCGTTTCATTTCTTTAATTTTTGTCAAATAAAATTTCGTATGAAAATGAAAAATATTTACTTTCGTTCAAACGCATTAATTCTAACTCTGAGATGTTCGACTCTTTCCAATAATATTTTCAACATCTCTTCTTCGTTTACAACTCCCTTTCTATAAAAGAAATACTTGATTTGGTCTTCTTTAGACAATTCAAACACACCTTCTCCAATTCCCAATTTCGCAACGTTTCTGAGTAAAAGTAAATCGACAATGACCCAATCGCTCTTTTTCCCTTTCTCTTCGTTTTCCCATATTTTTAAGACTTCCACCACTTCATTGTGTCGGATTTTGTCATACATGTCTTGAGCCTTTTGTCCGAATGATCTAAACGGGACTGTTTTAGTTGGTATTTCTTGTTGTGGTTTGTCTTTAAAAGTGTTTTGTGAAGGCTTTGGAATGTGTTTGTGTTGTTTCAGCTCAATTATTTTCGGCTTAAGTTTCTCCATTGTCGCAAAGTCGTTTGCGCGTTGGTGGTGTTGTCCTCCCAACTCTGCGAGTGATGGGAGGGCGTGCACAAGCGTTTCGATTTTTCGTTGTGAATCGGTTTGTGTGTCTCTTTGTTGAAGTGGTGGACAAGTGTTCGAATTTCTATTTTCGAGAAAGTTTAATGAATAGAAAATGTCGCTGGTGACTTTTATTCGATAATTAGACTCTTTGGGTTTTGGCATTGGTTTTGCACAGTCTTCAAAACAATCAATATAAGAAATCGAGTCTTTTTTACGTTGGGACAACTTCTTTTTCTGTTGATTTTTTAATTTGGTGTTTTTAAATTTGGAGGGAAGTGGCGGTTTTGCATCAACAACTGGAATTGAGGCAGTTTGGTCATAAATTGGTGGGATTCTGAATGCAAGTTGTGATGTTCTTGAGGTAAGAGGAGTCGGGACATTGTTTTTAAGTGGAGGAAGTTCACTGAATATTGGAAAATTCATTTATAATTTAGGTTTTTTAGTTTTTTATTATTAAGATTTGGCGTTTTATATATCAGTTACCTTTTGGTGTATTTTAAAAAATAGAAATTTAAAAAACTTAATGTGCATTTTAGTTTTGTTTCTGTGGAAGAGTTAAAATTTTATAATAAATTATTTTAAATCAGTTTAGGTACAATTTTAGTTTCTAAATAAATTAAAAAAGGGTTTAATTGTTTTTGTTTTTTGAGATCTAAATATTTTTATTTTAAGAGTGTATGAATCAATTATATATTTATTAATATAGTGTTGTTTTTTAAAAATCAATA